GCTTTGATGGCAGTTAAATTACGACAATCGGGTCAGCCCTGGGTGCTAACTGGTAAAAATCTGGAATACTGCAATCGAACATAAGATGAACAGTAAGACTGAGATAAAACGTTTCGGTCCATTAAGTATGTGCGCCTAACTAAATCGTTATTAGCATATGCCAGGTAGTCAAGACCTACCATCAGGTTGCAAGCTGCTCTCAAACGAGAGGAACGATTGAGAACCTAGCCAGCAATTGTTATTGGCATTGTAACCACTTGGTTTACCGCCACCTCTTGCAGAGAACGAATGCGAAAAGGGTTTTGATTTTATAGCTTACAGTTTGTCACTGGAAACAGTGTTGTCCACTCACCGTATCGTTTCTTGAGCCTGCTTTTTTGAACATCGTGGTTACAGATCTTCCTATTCTTGTACAGAACTGAGCCAAGTTTTGGTGACATGGCACTGCAAGTACTATTGAAATGTCAATGATGGTGGAACAAAAAATCAAGAAAATAGCTCAATTATGCAACTGAGCACCAGGGTACACGAAACTAATATTTAAAAAAAAAAAACCTGACGTTTTGTCAAAATTGCAGGTGTCTCATGATTATAACAATGATAAAACGATATTGATAGCCGTGACAGCAATAACGATGGAAATAATAATACATTAATAATAATAATGAACAACAGCAAGATTGAAATATTAGAAATAGAGATAAGGAGTTGTTCTAAATACTACATGTAGCAGTAAACATGTTCGAGAGCAGAAAAGACGGAACGGATCTCGAAATGACCAGAACAATGTTCCTGGCTGCCATTTGCGTTCATTCAGTGCTGTAAAAAAAATTTCACTTGCGCAATCTCGAGAAAACTCCTCAATGATTCTTCGACTTTGCAACAGGTTTGCATATGCTGGTTTATTAACATTTCTTCCAAGCGTTTACAATCACTCCTCCTACGACTCGCCCAGTCGTTTCGATGGTAGTTAAATTGCGGCAACCAGGTCAGCCCTGGATGCTTAACTGGTAAAAATCTGGGAGATTTCAAACAACGATAAAATCAAGAGGAAGAATGAGATAAGGCGTTTCGGTTCAATAAGTATATACTCCTTAACAAAATCGTTACTAGCATATGCCATGTAGTTAGCCTTCACCGTTCCTCCCTCTGCCCCCCACCTCTCCTCCTCCCCCTGTGCCTTCCCCGTCGAGTTGTTTGTAAACTGCTCTGGAAAGAAGGATATGATTGAGAGCTTCCCCAGCAATTGGATGTTATTGGCGTTTGCAGCCACTTGTTTTACCTCCCGGGTGCCTTCGCCCCCCACAGACGAATACTGAAAGGGTTTTAATTTTGTGACTTCGAGTTTGCCACTGGGAACAGTGCTGCCCACTCACCGTATCGTTTCTTGAGCCTGCTTCTTTGAACATCATGGTTACAGATTTTTCCATTATATAGAAATGAGCCAAGATTTGTTGACATAGCACTGCAAGTGTAGTTGAAATGTCAGTGATGGTGAAACAACAAGAAATCAAGAAAATAGCTGAGCACCGCCTAACCAAACTTAACATTTCAAAAAGAGAACTGACGTTTTGTTAAAACCGCAAGAATTGCTTCATGATAAGGGCAGTAACGGTAATAATAGCGATGACAACAATAACGATGGAAATAATAACTGTAACAATAAAGGTGAACAGTTATGATAGTAATAATAGAAATAATAATAATATTAATAATAATAGAAACAATAGTAACAATAATAATAAACAGCAGCAAGATTGAAATATTAGTATCAGAGATAAAGGATCGATCCCGGTGTACCAGTGGACATATTCGAGAGTAATGTGTGTTTCATCTCATAGCAGAGACTAAAGGAACAGCTACAACGTAAAGAAATAATTTGTTTCGATTCTGCTGCAACAAAAATTTCGAATTTTTTTGCTCAAACTGAAACTCACATTTGAAAATTTCTTGCTTATTCACAATATTGAGGAAAAGCACTGCTTACTGAGTAAGAGGCGATGAAGATGTAGCAAGCATGAGCAGCAGTGTTGGTGATAAGAGCAGCAGCATTAGTAATTGGCGATGATTTCTGATAAAGGACGACTGTGAACGATAGGTCTGTTATTGCTCTTTTTGTGGAGGGTGGTTTTCCTTTTGTTTATGGATCGGTGTCCGATATTGGAGGATGACCTCGTTGACATCCTCGTTGACATCCATCACTGATCTCAGCAATGTTCCACAGGAACAACGGGATGTACTCCGCAAAGTTTAAATCTTTACCACCTGTTCAGCACCTCGCAAAATGTGTCAGCACTTCACTCTCCCTTCCACCTTATTCTCCCCCCTCCCCCAATCTCTTGTCCTTTGACTGAACCGAAGATATTCTTCATTGATGCTGGTAGCTAACGCCAAAAGCATTTAGCTGTCACATGGCTGCCAAAGATTCACATGTTCCCAGGATATGCGCTAAGAGGAAATTCAAAGAGGCTTCAAGTTCACGAAGCGCTATCTAATTTGTTAAGAATACCAAGACCACTCGGGCAGTCGATATGAGCATTCAATGTTGATAATGTTGCTGAGATGCCTTCACACACGAACCTCGGTTATGCCCTTAAATATTGGCTTTTGTGCTTAAAATTCTACTGATAACGACGAACTTACACTAGAACCAGAATTAGCACTGCGTTTTGTTAGCTGCAAAGAAGTCGCCTTTCGTCATTCTCCTTGTCCGAGGAAAAAGAGAAGTATATTTCGAAAACGTATGGGATAAAGAACTTTTTTTTTGACTGTTCGAAGCTCAAACCACTGCACCGTTTCAAAAAGAACTATATTTTATTATCAAAAAAAAGTTAAGAACAAATAAAGCGTTTGCGAAATCGCTCGTGCACGCAGAATCAGGTGATGGCAACTGCTCTCCTTTAGACTTCTGTTTCCTTTCCGCCATTCATAATCCACTCTTTTACTGAAAAACCATATGCACAAAGGGCTACAATGGCACAATACGTAAACGAACATTGCCATCTCATGGACACCGGGCTGTCTCGTTAAGATGCGTGTGCTTTTTAATATCACTAGTTAAATCTCAAAATGTCCCTGGCAAACATAACCGGGCAAAATGGGAAGTGGTACCATCACAAAATATTCTCCTGGCGGAGAGGGAGAGGGGTCCCGCCCTGGAACCATGCAAAAATTAGAAGAGAGTTGTAAAGCTGTTACTTAGAGCTAATTTAGTTTACCCTTTTTTTCACTTTGAGCACTTCGAGTAAAAGAGGTTGTAAGGAAATAAGAGTCGAATTTAGGTTAGGGTTAAAAAATATTTAGCATAAATACCAAAATTAGAAGTCAGAACCCCTTTCGTATTCATTTTCGATGAGTGCGGAGAAACTCAGCAGTATTCAGAAGGCAAAAAATGCCAACAGCAACCACCCGCTGGCAAGGCTATCGATGGCTCCCTTTTTTGAAGTTTGCTTAGGAGCAGGCCCAGCGGCGGAAAAAAAGAAATCACAGTGTGAATATCTGGAACATTTGAAACAGCTACAATTCACAGTCTGATTCTCTAGCTATGCAACTGGCAACTTTTTCACTTGCTTTGACCAGTGCTGCATCGTCTGGTGGTCAGCCTGCTGGCGACCCTGTGTTTCACCTCTGTAAATGATAAAAAAA